CTCCAGCAGATCAACACTCCCACCCAATGTCATCTGCAAACGTAATGAGGGAGCACTCAATCCCCTCATCCAGATCATTGATAAAGATATCGAAGAAGACGGTTCCCAGAACCGAGCCCTGGGGAGTACCTCTTGTGACTGGCCACCAACTGGATTTAACTCCATTCACCACGACTCTCTGAGCTTGGCCATCCAGCCAGTTCTTTCCCCACTGAAGAGTGAACCTGTCTAAGCCATGAGCCGCCAGTTTCTCCAGGAGAATGCTGTGGGAGATGCTGTCAAAGGCTTTACTGAAGTCCAGGTAGACAACGTCCACAGCCTTTCCCTCATCCACTAGGCGGGTCACCTGGTCATAGAAGGAGATCAGGCTGGTCAAGCAGGAAAATGATTGATGATATCGATCAATGATGCTCCTGCATCTTGAATTCTGTGTGCACTTCTGGTCTCCTCAAAAAAGGTAAATCACAACTAAAAAAGATTCAGGAGCTAGATTGTTGAAGACTTTGAGAGTACTTGGGGGATGTTTCACTACATGATAAGTCTACTTTTATTCTCTTACCTAGTCATCTGTTACTGGCTACTGTTGGGAATGCGATACCAGGCTAGTAACTATTGGTCTGACTCAATAAGGCTGGTTTTATATTATATTCTTATATAGTATTTGTCCTTTGTGTCTGCTGGGAAAAAAAGCCCTCAATGGTGTGCCACTTATTACCTCAGTGATATTTGTGTCAGAAGATCATGTCGTAAAATCTGGGGCTTTCAAGGATAATTACTAAACAACACTCAGAAGGAGCTCAAAGATGTACAGCTGAAAGCTAGTTGCAAGTCATTCCTTTTAGGACTGAAGAAGGGTTTGTGGTCCTGAGTGAAACAGTTACAAAGCAGAAATACTGAAGGATTACAGAATGAAAGGTTAATTTATTATAAAGGTTTGAAAAGTTGCTTAAGAGAGTACACTTAAAGTTTGTAGAGAATTAGCATAATTTAGAGTAAGGGACAGCTCCTAAATAGATGCTATCTGCTTAATGTGATTTGTGTTTGTAATGATTCATCATTAGATTTTTCCACTTTTTTCCACAAACATATTATAGAAGATATTTGTTTGGTTAATAATACTTTCCTAGCTTAAAGCAGTGGCTATTTAGTCTGTCTGTGTTATGAGACAGTCAAATATAAGTTTTAACTATGTCCTGCAGTCTCTCAGGCCTATTTCAGACACAGATTTTTGATATTCGTCTTCTAAAAAGTTGATTGTAATAGAAAAATTGTATTTATAGCACAAAAGTCAGTGAAAGTCTGTAACTTATTAGTAGAATTCTTCCATGCTTTTGGAAAGGTTTCTGTAACTTCTACTTAATTTTTGAACATAATGGGAATAAAAAATTACGTCAAACCAAGTTTGTATTTTTTTCAGAATTGGAGTATTAAATTTTAATTCCCCCCACCCTGGAAAGAAAAACAGATAACTGACATTGTGTTTAAACTGAAAATAATTCTAAAGAACAGTCTATTGACTTTTGCATTACGAAAGCAGTTAAATGCCAATTGTCACCCATATTCACCCTTTTATATTCTCTGCAGCATATGACACCATTAGATTCCCTCTTTTCCCCTAGAAGAGGGCATAATTGTAAATATATTGAGGTAGGTTGAGGGGCTGTTTTTTGAAAGAACACATCCAGTGAAACTTTTCTTCCTTTATTATGTCCTTCGTTTATGGAATTCAGCAAGGATAAATGCTATTTATGCTATTTATGGAAGGTGTATATATGTGGCTACTAGGTGAACTTTTCTGCAGACCAGGGCAAAGGTATGAGTGTTATGCAGATGTTACAAAGTCTTAGATATCCTTCACTGCATCTGCCCTAAAGAAACCTGCAAAAGTTTCCTGCCTCCTGAATAAAGAACAACAAGCTGAAGCTGAACTTCAGCAGCGCTGAACAGTCACTGGTAGGTTGAAGAAGGCATGTAAAGAGTCTGTAACTGTGGAGCCGTTATATTTGAAGGTATACGTTCATAGTGTAGGTTAGGAAATACAGAAATTCTTAAGAAAGCTTGAATAACTGCATTTGTTAATAGCCCCTTCATTGCCTAGGCAATTCCATTCATGTTTTTTCCATATTCATGTTTTCCTCAAGTTTTCATAGCTTCTGGGCCCTAGAAATTGCTTGGAATATTACATGAAGCTTTTCAGTGCTTGGGAACTCAGTTCTCAGTAAAGTTATTTCAAACTCACCAAACCCCGCTCTCTGTACTTTTCATTGGCTTCCCATAGAACAACTCAAATGTAGTAATTTGGTCCTTTTGTTCAAGGTGTTTAATGACCTGGCCCTACATTTCCTAAAAGTAATCTTGAATTCTGAATAAAGACTTCTGCTTGCAACTTCAATCCTCTAGTGTAATGTGGTTTTCTACAGTAAAGGTAAAGTTATGAATATTATTGAAGAAGTTGTTTTGCTGGCCAACCTAAAACTTTGAAATGAGCTGTCTTTGGAACTTCCATTTTTAAGTGCATTTGTTTGACTTTACAAACTTAGTTTTCATTCTATCCATTTTTTTTTCCCTGGCGAAAAAAAGAAAGAAAAAACATGAGATCAGTGTTAGTTACAAATTTTAATGCATTACTGGAAAGATGGAAACATGCACATCATGTTCTGTGGTAGGTGGCGTAGAGCCTGTTCCATAAGTTCTCCTCTTGACTCCTAGTTGAAAACTACTGGTGATAATTTTAATTTTTAATCTGCCTTTATGTTATATAATACTTAATGATGTATTCTTTAGTGTAGTCTTTAAAAATGAATTACTGAATATGAGTAGTCCATGGGTAAGCACCAACTTAACTTTCTGTTCTCCTGCTATTTTTTTAATGCCTTCTCACTTTAGATTCCTTCCTATTATACATCTGCTGTATATCTTTTAGGACACACCTAAATTCAGTATGTCATGTATTTGGAAATTAGTTAGCCCATTAGTCATCATACTAATCAGTACTGACTCATTTTTTCCCCTCCCTCTCTGCCTGTATCCGCTTGTTATGTCTGCTCATATACATGTATTTTAAACTGTTTGTGAGAGAAATTACCTTTTATTGTATATCAGTAGCTAGCCTCGTGGTATTCTGATGCATGACTTTGGATTCTAAGAGTTATCACAGCCTGAATCTATGTATTAGATTACGCAAGTGCCCAGCACTGTCCATGGAAAGTAAAAGTTTCTGTGTATGGCTGTTGTTTTCACACAGCAAAGAGGACAATAGGGCCATGTGAGTTAGACTCCTCAGATGATTAAAAATTCAGGGTAAGTGTTACTGTGGTGGGACATATTTATATTGAAAAAAGTGCATGCAAGGAAATACTTTTGAATTTTCTGTGATTAAACATTGAAGGACCATTTTTACAAATACAGATTAGTTACTTTTTTCCCCAGAATTTATCATGACTGGTGTGTGTGTGTGCTAGAAGTAGTGAAGTTGGTAGAGAAACCTCTAAATAATCTCTGCTGCAGGAAGTGGTGGAGGTGATTCAGTAAATGGCACTTCCACATCTGAGTCAGAGCTGAACCATAGTCTCAGCATGATGTTAGCGTGGTTCAACGTGCTGTTGGGGAGCTCTATTTTGAATGAGACATAAAGCTCAACATCCTGTTTGTTAACAGTTCTTAAAGACCCAGTGGCAATTTCTGGGCTATTAAAGCTGACTTCTTGGCCATATGTAAATTCCAGTTGTCATTTGTTTCATTCTTTTTTGGTGCATCTTACTCTTGCTTTTCTCTTCCTCTCTGCTTTTATGAAAAAAAGGGCTTTGACATAGGGAAACAGGGAAGAGAGGAATGATGATGTTTGTATACTTTTTATAAAGTTCTACATTATAAGGTACTTTTCTCAAAAGTGTAGTATTATCATTACTGTTGCAAAGCTGCAGGGCACTCCAGGAACCCTTTGAGTTTATTACATTAGCCCAGGATCATACTTTACAGTTGTTCTCTGAGATGTCATATTTATGATTAAAATAAACAGAAACTCCCAAATCACAAGCCCTTCTCTTAAGTACTTCAACCTTTTGTATGCTGAGTGTTCACATTAGAAATTACATTTCTGAATGTTTGTATGAAACTTTAGTGTTTTACTTCCAGCAGCTCTTTCACATTGATACTTTTTTACGTAAAGATGATAAAAAATAACATGTTTTATAGAAGTAGAAATGTAATATACAAACTATAAAAAGAACATATTATTTATTCTTCAGGAATATAAGTTGGCGCTTCTACAATGCTATGGAAGATACCTTCAGCAGTTTGTTTCTGTAAACCTTGATAATATCATAGATGATGTGCATCGATTTAAATCCACCTTTTTTCCAAATGGTTTCAGGGACAAAAATGCAGCACTTACGGTAAGTTGTTTTTCTGGTTTTGGTGTTTGTTTTTTTTTCTGTCAAAGACATTCCCAGATTCAAAATAAGTAGCTTATTTTATCCTCCACAAATGTACTTCGTATTAATTAAATATTAACTAATCTTTAATACTTTTTCGATAGAGATTTAAGTCGTGTGTATGATATGAACATCCAGAGTTGGTGTAAATTTTTAAGAGGATATAAGTGCTAATGCTTTTGTGGCATAAGCCAACCACTATCAATTTAATGTTAAAAAGGCAATTTTCTCTGAATGGGTTATTCCGTAACTGTCTACAGCAGTTTTTGCCCTGAAATAGTTGCTATTAATCATTGTCAGAATCAGGATATGGGCAAAATTTGATAACTGTCCTGCAAATTGTTGTAGAAATTTCTGTATGGTGTGATCTAAGAACTGGGCAGAGTGCAAGAGGATTAAAATATTGTACTGTAATTTTTACCATGAATGTGCTAAATTGCTACATGCAAAAAAAGCTCATGGCATAGTAAAAAAGCATCATCATATTACTATCAATAGCTTATTTGCACACTATGAACAAAAGAGGCAGAATGCTGAATAGTTTTGTAAGTGCTTTAAGCTCTGGGAAGCTGAGTGACCTTGAAAGTATGTTGGCATCCTTTTGTGTTAATTGCTTGTCGAGGTAGGGGCTTGCAATTTATCATTTGTTATCCACGGAAGCAAGTGCTTCAGTAGGTATAGGGGGAATGTTAAAAACATGTTAGATTTTACCTTAAGCAGTTCTTTGCTGAGAGGCTCTCTTTTCAGTGTGTAGTGGATATTTCAAAATAAACTAGTGCATGTTTTTCTGTGATCAAGAACAACAAAAGGAAACTGTAGGCATCTCCTGTGTATTGAGCTAATCAAATTCATATTCCTCTAGTCAGAGTTAGATTGTAAATAGGTGCTTAGTGAGGAGAAAAAAGCAGTTTGCTTAAAGGCTAGAAGCAGCTGTAGTGATAGAAGAGAGAATCTTTTTATATTATTTTTTTGTTTTTCAAACATAGTTCAGCTTCCTAGAGAGAATGTGATCAAAGACTGTGTTAATCCATTTTATTTTGGTTTTTAAAAAAGCTTTGTAAATAAATTTGAAGTTCCAGAGATGGTTTCTCCTGTTTTCTGTATGTCTGCCCAGACCTTGAAGTAATCATAGTGCCAGATGTTATCATGAGTCTATACTAAAATGCCTGTTCTGTAATTTGGCCTTTAGACAGTGAGACATCCCTAAATTTTCACATATGGAATCTAGTTTGACCATGATCTCTACAATTCGAAATGGATAATGATAATGTGTCAAATGATAACATCTTAAAGGCTTTATATGTAAATTTTTTAGCCAGGTTTCTGTGGCTAGGTTTTGTTTTTCAGTATAACACTAAGGAAATCATAGAAATGGAGTTCCAGAGCTTCAAACTTCCAGTTTCAGTGAATTAACTGCAAAAAATAACATTATTTCAAATATTATTGGGTTAGTAGGCTTCTGAGAGGTTGATATGTACTGACCGGCTGTGTCCTACTTAGCTCATTTTCTCACATGTTGCTTTGTTCAGATGATACTGTACTCCAGACAAGACTGAGATCACATTATGTTAGGTGTTACAAAGTAGAGAAGGAAGAATGCATCTGTAGAAGAGAAAAGTAATGGATGAGAGTGAGAAATAAGATATCTGTGATACAGATGGAGAAGTAAAGTGCAGAAAAGTTAAGACTTGCCTTAATTTACAGAGGAAATATACAGAGAAGCCAAGAATTAAAGCCAGATTCTTTGAATATCAGTTTAATGCCTCATTCATGCTTTCTCCCTACACGCCTTTCAGCAGCCCAAGTGCACTAGGTGCATTTTCATCCTGTCACACAGTGGAAACTGACTCAAGACTAATGGTACAGCAACTTTAAAGCTTTAGCACTTTCTCCATATGCTAATGCTCATTTCAATGTCATGCTGATTTTCTTCTGGTATGCTTGATCTTTTCATACTCACCATTTTGTTGTACTTTGCTGATGTGAAACTGACGCCTAGTTTAACTATATATATTAATTTTATGTATGTTTCCATATGTTTTAGTTCCATGCTTTGCAAGAGAGAAATGTTTGCGTGTATCAGATGGTTTGCAGCAGTGACAGAAATCTCCAGAATCAAGAGTCCCTGCAGACTTGCTTCAATGTCTTGTCCTCATTACGACTCACTATGCAAGTGGCTCTACCTCAGGAGAATTTGTGTTGGCTTATCTACAATGGTACCTCAGGCTTTCCATTTACATTTCTTTGCTAAGCAAACCTGTGGAGGGAAACTTTATACATATTCTTTAAGGTTGACCTAACGGTCATGAATAAATCTCTAGTTAGTCTTCGATCACAGTAGGGTTTTTGGTAATCTTTTTTTTTTTAAGTAAGAGATTTGAAAATTGAAGTTTCTACATATCATGCCTTTTTCAGGTGGGCTGTTGTGAAAGTAATAGCTTTTTCATCATAGCTGTGGTTAGACTGTACTAATAAAATGGAATCTAACAGCGTAATAAGGGCATTTTTTGCATGAACCCTGATTAAAAAAAGCCCTCGATTTTTTTTATCAATAAAATGTTTGTGTTAATGAGTATGGTTTGGTACTGGTTTTTTTTTGAAAGGGGGATTGCAGATCTAAGAGTAGAAAATTATTGTCTGACATTACATCTTTGTATTTTTAAAGTAATCTTTAAGGCTGGAGTTGATAGTAAAACTATTCTAAAAAATACCATATGACATTTAATAATTTGAATCTCTCTATATGATTTTACTATGCTACTTATAAATGCTTGAATTAGGAAAAAAATTCAGGGAAAAAGGGAATTTCTTTGAAGTAGATACACAGAGAATGGTGTATCAAGATTTTTATTTCAAGTACAACAGTATATTTTTGCTGTGAAAGGCAATGTTATTTAGTCAAAAGTCGAAAGGCTATTATTAATTTGTTATACTATGGACAATTGTTGCAATTAACTGAGGAGATAATGTGTTTTTAATTTAATTTTGGAAAACTTATTTTCCCTGAACTATAATTGATCAAAATTCTTATCCTTTTGTTTTGCTGGGGCTGCCGTTGCCCTCAGTCTCTACTTATGAGATGTGGTTTTCTAAAGGAGAAGAACTAAAATTAAAATATACTCACCAGCCGTTCTTAATTGCCACTACCTGTGTGTGGGACAGGTCTCTGTACTGAGCCTAGCCAATAATCTAATATAATTAGAAGTAGGCAATAACTCAGATTTTCCCCAGTTCCTGAGCATTTTTCTGTAATTTCTGGCAATAGATTTTGTGGCTCATTATACATTTGACTGATAAAAAGAAATCTTCCTAATGCTTGCTCCATTCTTGCTTATTGGGATAATAACACCCTTCTAGCTATAACAATTGACATTGTGATGTCTCCCGCTGCCACAGTTGTCCCTTTCTGAACATTCATACAGACAGAAGAATAGACCTTTTTTCCCCCCACTCTAGAACTGCAATGTCTTTTATACTTCTAGGGATGATTTTTGAAAAGCAATTTTGTGACATAGCCTAAATTAAGTAAATTTTTGACAGGATTTTATTTGTAAGTCACTTTGATGCTATTTCATTTCACTTATCATACTTAATATTGCATAGTAGTGGTGTTGTCTGCCAGGACAGTGCCATGACAGACTAAAAGAATCATGGTCTATGAGGAGAGGTAATTTTTTTTTAAAATTTGATACAGTACATTTTTAAGATTTTTTTCTTTTATTGTACTACTTCATTGTAGAGGTATTTTTGAAGCTAATATTGCCCAAGAATATTTAATAGCTTAATCTTCTCTAATTTAAAAGTCATCATAGAAAAAACAGTAGTTTATTTTTCAGCCTCTGGAACTAATAGCCCAGATATTAAGAAAAAGTGTCAGTTGGTTAGCATAACAAATTTCATGTAGCTTTATACAACTTACCTGGTTTTTATTTATTTTATTTTTGCAGGTACTATTCATATTTACACCATATGCAGACATTTGATGATGATAGGTCAGTCTGCTAAGGTATGGCAAAATAAATAGAAACATTGAAAAATTTACAGAAGATTAGAGAATGCACCAATATTTTGCATAACACTGTACCCTGACATTCCTATTTCATTGTCATTGCCAATAGTAGCACTTTGTCACAAGGGAATAAAATGTTTAGATTGCAAAATGGCCAATTTCTAAGCCCTCAGTGCCTTCATGACTGTTCTCCATCCTCAGTTGTGGAATGGAGCCCACCATAATGTCTTGCTGGTCTTTGGTTATGTTAGACTCTTTCAGAGGGTTCTAGATGCTTTTTTTTGTACAACTGTATTAAGTCAGTCCCAAGAATTGGTCTTTTGTTTCTTAAAATGTGGCAATGTACTGACACCTGGTGGCTAGGATTTTAATTGTAAATACTTGATAAAAATGACCTGGTCTTTCCCTCCTGCCCTTTCTTTTTAACTATGAATGTAATTTTGGTTTGTCTTAGCTTTACTTTTTTCTCATAAAACTTGAACAGAGTCTGACTCAGCCTTAATCCAGTATAAGAGTGTGACCAGCAGGTCAAGAGAAGTTACCCTTCCCCTCTACTCTGCACTGGTGAGGCCTCATCTGGAGTATTGTGTCCAGTTCTGAGCTCCCCAGTTCAAGAGAGACAGGGAACTTTTGGAGAGAGTCCAACAGGGGGCTATGAGGATGACTAAGGGACTGGAACATCTCTTGTATGAGGAGCGGCTGAGAGACCTGGGGCTGTTTAGTCTGGAGAAGAGAAGGCTGAGAGGGGACCTTATCAATGTCTATAAATACCTGAAGGGTGGCTGTCAGGAGAATGGGGCCAGTCTCTTTTTCAGTAGTGCACAGTGGTAGAACGAGGGGCAATGGGCATAAACTGCAGGTCAGGAAGTTCCACCTCAACATGAGGAAAAACTTCTTTACTGTGAGGATGACAGAGCACTGGAACAGGCTGCCCAGAGAGGTTGTGTCATCTCCTTCTCTGGAGGCCTTCAAAACCCGACGGGATGCGTTCCTGTGCAACCTGCTCTAGGTGATTCTGCCTTGGCAGGGGGGTTGGACCAGATGATCTTCAGAGGTCCCTTCCATCCCCTACCATTCTGTGATTCTGTGATTCTGTGATCTTCTTATCTGTTGGTTAATCTTTCATTGAGCAGGAAAGACTTTTTTTCTCTTCGAACATCTTTTATTGAAATCAGAAGTGATTTAGCACCTCCTTTAACATACTCAGGCTTTTACTATACAGGAAACAGAGGAATTGATCATAAGTATTTCAGATTCTTTGAATTCAGGCAAAAAAAATCATATATTGACTTAATTTAGGACTCAGGTTGTGCATATTTTCTGTACCTCAGGGAAAAGCTGACCCAAAGAAAATATAAGGGGAAGATATTTTTCAATCAATTTGTTAGGACTAATTCTTAAAGTTAGGCTGCTGCAATGACTATGTTGGCCCTAAAGTTAAGAGCTGATACTGTAGTTCTGTGTTTGTAAATTAATCTAGGCACAGGCTGTCACCAAAGGCAGCAGACTCCACTGTATCCCAAATAAGCTTGCTGATCTGGTTAAAAACTAACTTAGAAAAAAATGATCACTAGAACTGACACAAAGGACACAAAGGAGAGGGATAATTCTCAAGATAAGAGCAGATGAGAAAGAAGGGCAGGACCTCTGTCGTGATGGCAAGGCTATAATGAACTGGAGCGGTTAAGGTAGCTTGGAGGCTAAAATATAATGCTTGACCACAGTTTCAGATGGGAAAAAAACAATAGTATGCAGGAGGAATGCTTTGTAGTCAATAAAACATGTTAAAAATTAATACAATTTCTGTGATTTTTTTTGTCCTCTTTTAATTTGCCCTACCAGGTGAGGATAAGTCTTTATATGTGTCCTTTAGTAATAGATAGTATATTTGTATAGGTTAAAATGCATTGTTTGAAACTGGATTTCTTCAACACAGGTCCTGGAATACTTACTGTGGGCCAGTATATGTATGGAATCATCCATTCCGCTCTTATCTGTACATCATTTGACGTGGAGAGCCACCCTATATACTGCAGTTTCTCAGTGTTATTTTGATTGTCAAGCCAGCATTCATGGAGAGGTATCCTGATTTATCATATGTAGCATTTCAGATGCAATCAAATGGGAAATAAATATTTATTTATATTTTCCTGCTTATTATCAGATCATATGTATTTAGAGTTCTGTGCATATTCCAAAATTTAACTGCAAAGTGGAGGTGTGTTTCCATATGTAAATGAGTAATCAGTTCAAAGTTAAATGCAGTAGTACTTTGTAATATAATCATAATCATAGACTTCTAGCATTAAGCAGTGGCCAGTCCCCATGCATATATATAAAAGGTATTTTGCAAAGGTTTTCTTTTCCTTTTCAGTTGTTGTTCATGACCTGCCTTTCCTTGCAGCTCTTTGCAGTTGTCTGAATTCAAGAATGATGTGATTCTAAAATTAAATACCAACATACAGGATATGAAAACAGTATAATTTTTTTTTTTTTATGCTGTGGACAGATATTTGCTCGCCGTGGTCTGATTAAAATTGATGAACTGAAGCAATTGGAAAATATCAGTTCTTTGCTGGAAAATTCAGAGACAAAAACAATTTTTAGAGAGGCCACTCTAAAGGTATCATACTGCAATTCATTATAAACAGGTAGAGTAGTTACAATATCTATGAACAGAATACGTAACACAGTTATTTACTTACTTTTTTCTTTGCATCAGATGTCAGTAATGATTTTCAAGAGAGCCGTATATGAATCCAGAAGAAAGCCAAAAAACTACTTTCGACCTAAGTTAAGAGTTAGCCTGAAAGAAGCACGAAATGTAAGTCTAACAGTTTGTATAATCCTTCTCTTTACTATTTTCTTGTGATGAATATGTGATATAGTTCTGTTTAATACACATGGTGCTATTCACAACGAGAAAGTTTTACTCTTTCAGTTTCATAGTTAACATAATTTATTAGTAAAACTCAGAACAAACTTGAAAGGAGGGAAGATGTAGTAATTACTACTTTAGAAATGCTGATTTTTCTAGCATTTTTTCTTTTAGCAATTATGTTAGCAATAAAAATAAGAGAAATCTTGTTCGAATGCCTACCATGTGTATGGGAGTCCTGAGTTTGCCCTGCTGTGTTAAATTACTGTGAAGATAAAGGGGTACTTTGAGAAAAAGCTACTGTGGTTTTAATTTTTTTTGTGCTTATATTGGAGAACTCTCTTAAGTCTTGAGACATTGTTTTTGAAAGCCACTTACTTTTTTGCAAGATATCATGAATTAGAGAAAAGCATCCAGGATACAAAGTAGACTTAAGGACGTAATGAATTTCCTCAAATTTCACTCTTGTGTTACAGCCAGTGTCAAAGATCATTGATCCATTGGGATAAGAATTATGAATAATCAAAAAAACACTTTTTTGTGTGAGCACATTGTCCTTTTTTGGTCAGCATGCAGACTTTAATATATCAAACTTTAGTAGTTAAGTTTATCTTTATGCCGTTGTGCTACTATGTGGGTTCATAACGGTTATGCATCCTACTTGGATTGTATCATCCATTTTTGGTGGTAGCTCGATAGGTCTTTTGAATTCAAGACCTTTCCTAGATGCAGGACTACACAGATAGAATATAAAGTTTTCATTTTGATTGCACTGTGCCAAAGAGGATGCTTCTATCTGAGTGGTTATTCCCTTTGTGATGGACGGATAGTTGTTCTGCTTTCCTACTGTTTGCAACTGTGATTTAGATAAATTTAATTCCTGCACTATTCCATAAGAAGCTGGCAGAGAGGAGCAACTGAAAGTACTAATCAGCAAGCTCCCAAAACCACACTCTTTTAGTGAGTAATATTTGCACCCATATAAACAAAAGATTGTGATCTCTTTGCACTGTGACACCCTTTGGTGATAAAAAGCATTATTCTGTGGAATGTTGTTAGCTGATGGTGATATAGATAGTTTGGGTTTATGGAGTAAATTACTTTCTTTTGAGCAAATACTGCATTATGAAGATTTATTGCAATATCATAGGAGTAAAGATGTTGGTTGCTTGGGACTTCTGGAAGTCATTTAGTCCGGCCTCTGACTTGAAGCATGAGTTTTGCCTATAATAGATCAAAGCAACTGTGGCTTTGCTTTCAAAATCTTAAATGAAGGAGATTTCCTAGTCAATCTAGATAACCTTTCCTAGTACTGCACTACCCTCCTAATCAACATGCTTTTCCTAATGTCCAATCTGCAAGTCATCCCTGATGCTTTCAGAGTCATCTGAATTGAAGTCATCTAGTCCCGTCCCCCAAATTTTAAACTGTGGTCATTACTCCATGTTATGCTATCTAAGTCTACTCAGAAGAGTATTACTTTACTTTTATAAGTCGTCTTCAAATAGTTGCAGGCAGCTATTAGAGCACCCATTAGCCTCCTCTTTGCCAGACTAACTAAGGCTTCCTCAACCTATTCTTTTACATTTTATGCCCCTAATCATCTTGGTAGACCTCCATGGGACCCTGTCCTGTTTCTTAGCATCCTTCTTATAAAGAGGAGCCCAGAAGTGGACATAGTACTGAGGTGGAGCCTCATGAGTTCAAGTAAGGGAAGAAAATAACCTCTCAATGTGCTGTACACTTCTTCTAGTATAAACCCAGTCTGTGGTTTGCTCCCTTTGTGACAAGAGGACACTGCTGGCTCAAGTTTAACAACCAGGTCTTTTTTGGCAATGCTGCAACTCCAAAAATTGGTTTCCAGTCTGTATAGATGCATTCCTCCCCAGATGCAGTGCTTGGCACTTCTTTCAGTACAACTGCTTCCTCAAGATTCTCAAGGTCTGCTTGGACTGAAATTCCACCATGCTTTGACACGCATACTGTAGATACAGATCCATTACGTATGTACCTCATAATATAACAACAAAATTGTGGAATCTCTTTGCATTTTTTGAAAGAAAAAAAGGAAATATACTACAAAATGACATCTTCTTTGCCACAGTTTATCCGAAACTAGGACAGATTCAAACATCCAGAGCTGAACAAATAGGTTAAATCTGGATTTTTTTGTCCATAATTATCTAATTTGTTCATAAAATACTTTGGGATAAGCTACATGTAAAAGCATGTACTGCACTAGGTACAGTAAAAGCCAAATAATTTGAAATAAGAATGATGCATTTTCTGCCTTAACTAATTGTTTAATATTGAAATAATTTTTATTTAATTATTTCTTTGCCATTACTCTATATTATGTTGGTTTTTTAAAGAAAATTGGCTATATTAGACTTATAAGAAGCGACTTGAGATTGCTCGTTTGAACTGCTTATGGTTAATAGTAAAATTATAATGAAGTTATGCCAATATGTTACAGATGTGGTCTTACAGATGTATTGAACACTTCTGTTACATAAGTTATTCATCAAAGCTTTTTAAAAGCTTATCTGATACTTCAGCTTCAAATCATTGACTTGAATTGTAATTAATATTGAACAGCTGAGTGGACAGTACAATCAATCTATTCCAAACCTCACTTACTGGAAATTTTCCTTTATCCAAGATAGGGCCCAAACCTCAACATGTTCAAGTGTGTGTGGTTTACACATATAAAGGTACCTGTCAACTTTCTCAAGGTCAGTTGATTCTGGAAGACTTTAAGTACTTCTGAATGATGATCACCTAAAAGTCTTGCTGAACAATTAGGATATTAGGAACTCGGCATGCTTTCAAATAAGTGTATTTGGTCATCAGGCACCCGTCATGTCACTATGAACCTATGTCTATCACATAGCAGGAATCTCATATATGTGATCTCCAGAAGCTTGAAAAATCTTCAGTAATTGATTTTGTTCCGCAGTGTCTCTTTGACTTTCTGACAAAACTGAATGCCTGAAGTTAACTACAAATTGTTAGAAATTACGCTGTTCATAACTCCCACACCAAAATTCTTTTGCTTATAAAATGTGCTACAACAATTTTCATTTCATCATTTAAGAAGGAATCATATTTATTTCTGCATGCTTTTTGTACTTTTACAAAATTTGTTGAATGATGTAAAATCTGAAAGCACTGTTTTAATAATTATTTCAGAATATTTTGTAGGTTTATTAAGTGTCATGTAAATGAGGAAATATGGGACATTAATTTTTGCCTAACGTTTTGACTTTCAAAACAATTTCCTTTTTTAATTAGAGTACATATACTATACAATAGTATAGTACAATATACTATAATAGGTAGAACAGTTATATTTATAGCTCAGTTCAGCATGTTACAGAGCACATTATGCTTGGACTAGCAAAGAATTAAAACTCTTCCTTCTCTTCTAGTATGTGTGCAGTGGAATTTGTTTTTGGACTTAAATCACCTTGAAAAATGGAAACAAACCAGTCTAATCTATTTAGTTTAAGTTAGCTTTCACTTTGAGGTTCTTCTGCACCCATATGGTGTTTTCTAAAGATGAAAAGACAATGCTTATGTAAAAATATTGTTAGTAGTAAATTACTTGCCCATTCTGTTCTCCGTTTTAAATGAAGGTATTTAAACAAAACCTGCAATTTGTGCTTAGCCTGTGTCCTGATTTCAGCCAGGATAGAGCTGGTTTTCTTCACAGAAACTAGTGTGAGGATATGTTTTGGATTTGGGATGAGAAAAATGTTCATAAGGTGTTGATGTTTTGAATTGTTGCTAAGTAGTCAAGGACAGTGCAACTCCTCGTGCTGGCCTGCCAGCAAGAAGGCTGGGGGTGCTCAAGGAGCTGGGAGGGGACACAGCCAGGACAGCTGACCCAAACTGACCAAAGGGATATTCCATACCATATAATGTCAGGCCCAGTACATAAACTGGAGTTAGCCGGGGGGCGGGAATCACTGCTCGGGGACGGGCTATCGATCACCAAGTGGTGAGCAATTGCTGTATTGGGCATCACTTGTTCTTATACATTCCTTTGTCAGTATTATTGTTGTTATCATTGTTGTTTCCTTCTCTCTTGCTGTCCTATTAAACTGTTTGTATCTCAACCCACGAGTTTTTTCCCAATTCTCTCCCCCATCCCACTGGGGGAGGGGGGAGTGAGCGAGCGGCTGCGTGGTGCTTAGTTGCCAGCTGGGGCTAAACCATGACAGCCTGTCCTGTAATATATGTGATGTGTATTGATTTCTACTTGCATAGATCTGATTCCTAGGTTGGGCTCATAAAAAGAAATCCATAGTGTGTGGAAAAAGATACATTGAGTACAATGACACAAAATATTAAAAAAAGTATAGCTTGCTCTGAAGTTTTTTTTAGTCTGTGAATATCATTATGAGGATTTATTAAAAAATGTTGAAAAACAGCTTTGGAGTTATTTTGCTAGGATAATGTGCATTGCAGAATCACAAAATGATTGAGGTTGGAAGGGACCTCTGGAGGTCATCTGGTCCAACCCCTCTGGTCAAGCAGGGCCATATAGCTGGTTGTCCAGGACCATATCCAGTCGACTTTTGAATATCTCCAGGGATGGAGACTCCACAACCCTGCTGGGCAACCTGTGCCAGTACTTGGTCACCCTCAAAGTGAAAGAGTGGTTCCTAATGTTCAGAGGGAACCTCCAGTTTTTCAGTTTGTGCCCATTGCCTCTGGTCTTGTCACTGGGCACCACTAAAAAGATCCTGGCTGTCTTTTTTGCACCCTCCCTTCAGGTATTTACATACATTGATGAGATCCCTGCTGAGCTTTCTTTTCTCCAGGCTGAACAGTCCTAGCTCTCTCAGCCTGTCTTCATAGAGGAGATGCTCCAGTTCCTTAAACACCTTTGAGACCCTTCGTTGGACTCTCCCAGTATATCCATGTCTCTCACTGGGCAGCCCAGATCCGAACACAGTACTCCATTGAGTGGCCTCACCGGCAGAGGGGAAGGATCCCCTTCCTTGACCAATACTTCGCCTAATGCAGCCCAGGGTACTGTCAGATGCCTTTGCTGCAGGGACACATTACTGTCTCATGTTCAACTTTGTGTCCACCAGGACCCCCAAGTCCTTTTCTGCCAAGCTGCTTTCCAGCTGGATGGCCCCCTTGGAATGTACTGGTTCATGGGTTTGTTCCTTCCCAAGTGCAGGACTTTGCACTTCCCCTTGTTGAATGACATGAGGTTCCTACCAACCTGTTGAGGTCCTGCTGGATGGCAGCACAATCCGCTGGCATATCAGCCACTCCCAGTTTTGTGTCATCTGCAAATTTTCTGAGAGTTATGGAAGACAGTATCAAAGGCCTTACCGAAGTTTAGGTAGACAACACGCACTGCTCTCCCCTCATCTACCAGGGAAGTAATTTCAGCACGGAAGTTTATCAAGTTGGTTAAAGATGACTTCCCTTTCATGAATCAATGTTGACCACTTTGGATGGTTTTGTTGTCCTTCAAGTGCCTGAAAATGGTTTCCAGGATTAGCTGTCCCATCAGTATCCAATATTAACTATATTTTGTTTTTACTTTGACTATACTCCCAGCAGAAATAGTTCCTCTTTCTTTGGAAAAGACTGATAGTTGTAATATTGATGAGGCTCACTCATTGTAGAAGTCATTTGAAAACAACACATTAGCTTTAATACTCTAAATGCTGTCAGATATTGAACAGATCAGTTTTTTTTCTTCATCAGGTACACATCTGAGCTTGTCTGTAAGTATTAATTTGGATGCTAATATAAAGGATGTGGATCCAGCAAAGTGAGAAAGAAATTCCCAATTTTTTTAAATGTGCCTAGAAACCAATCTAAAATGTTTTATTTGTGGGAAAGTGCCAAATAAATTGAACTGAGATGTTTATGGGTTATGAGGAGCGTTTTAAAGTGCTGTATCACTGATTTGCTGTATGTCTGGTAGTGGTTTGGCAGCCATGTAAACAAAACATTAAAATAAACTTTTAAAACATTTTCTTATATAGAGCTCTGATCTCTTTGCTGTCAATAGTTCAAATATATTTTTGTGTGTTCTGCCTTATATTTTTATGCTATGCTGTTTGAAATGTGCAAGTGAGAGACTGTAATGATGTTTTGTTTTCACTGCAGTGCTGAGCATCCTAATCTTTCTTTGATTTTCTGCAAAGTGTGTAGAACTTAGCTCCTTATGATCAAGTCTGTGTCATCATAGGGAGAAATCTGGGTGGCTTTAAACTACATGGCCTTAATACTCTCACTCATAATTTCTGTTGTATTGTTCTTTATGTAAAATACCACGCAGCAGCGTGTGTGGTTGCTGTGAAATCATGGCACTTCTTAAATACTGTACCCACTTAGCATGAGGCTTTGCTATGTCTTTGAAGCATGAAATTCATAACAACGATACATTTTACAGTATGTTATTTTCTGTTTTAAACATGTACTTACTTTCTGATGGAAAACTGTTTTGAAATAAATTTTGCTTTATTGTAACTTGGTTTAGATATTACAAGGCTTACATTACCATTTCTTATTTAGTTGTCATGGCCTCGCACTACTACCGAACGGCTGCTGACAGAAATGTTTGACAGTGCCGCAGCTCAATTTCTTGCCATCCTGGAAGCTCTGTCTGATAGTAGCAGGCATGTGTTACACCCTGCTCCACCTGTTCCCGATGAAATTGAAATTCGTGATGTCATTTCAGAGCTTTTTTTTGCAGGCCTGGAAATCCTCTCAGGTAACAGCATAAAGAAGCAGAGAGTGTTGGTGAGGAGCCCAGACCTCCATTTTATTATTTTTTTTTTCTTTGCTATTTCATTTTTATAACAATAGCACCTTTAAAAGCAGGCAATCTGTTTTATCGTCATAAAATTTAAGATAAAAATCTGGGCCAATCTCTGTTGTCTCTTTTATCAGTAAAACCCTACAGTAATTTATGCATATCTTTTCACAATTGGATGGGGTTCACTTTCTTCATAGCAGCCCGTATGGTGCTGTGCCTTGCATTTGTGGCTAAAACAGTATTTGCTGATCACACACCAGTGTTTTGGCTGTTGCTGAGCAGTGCTCGCACAGCATCAAGGCTGTCTCTCCAACCCTCCTCCCCGCACAGGCCAGTAGGCTGGAGGTGGGCAAAAGATGGGAGAGACACAGCTGGGACAGCTGACCAGAACTCACCAAACGCCTATTCCATACCATATGATGTCATGCTCAGCAATAAAACCCGTGGCTAAGGGAAAGGATGGGAGCATGTTAGTGGTTACTGTGTTTGTCTTCCCAAGAAACTGCTATGCCTCCTTGAGGCCCTGCTTTCCAGGAAGTGGCTGGATATCTGTCTGTCTATGGGAAATAGTGAATACATTCCTTTTTTTTTGCTTTGCTTGTACTTGCTATTAAACTGTCTTTATCTCAACCCATGAGCTTTTCCATCTTATTTTTTTCCCCTGTCTTTTTGAGGATGGGGAGTGAGAGAGCAGCTGGGTGGGGGTCTGGAAGCCAGACAAGGTCAACATACCATGGTGTTTAATGTATTTTTTTCCAAAAAATCATTCAAACCCATTTTTAAATACTTGAGAAAAACACTGGACTTGATGATTCCTTTCAAAATTTTTGCTGGGCTCTGGACTGAAGATAACCATAGTTACAGAGATATTTTGTTCATAAAATAATTTGTAGAGACTGAATACACTTCAGAATCACATTTTCTTGATATGATTACTGGCTAATTGGAATCTAACAAGTAAAATACAATATAAGCTGATTTAATGAATTGTTTGTATTAAAGGTGGAGTGAGCAGTACTGGTGTTCAAGGAAGTCATTGCACTAATCATTTTGGTATACTTCATGCATCATCAACTCTTCTGCCATTGATACTAACAGGTAAACCAACTTTGAATTTTCAAAAGATTCTGTACCTGGTGATGCAAATGTTTGGTGAGCAGAATTCACTTTCATGTTAGTAGCACTTCTATGCACAAAGGGACTGCAAAATGCTGTCCTCTTTGTGTGAGATATGCTTGTTTACACATATAATGTTAAGGCATTCAAAAGGGATTATGTACAGATATAATTAGTGTTTTCTTAACACAAGTGTTGTTTAAACAGCAAATATATATATACACGAACACTGTAATCACATACTGTTCAGCATAGCAGTTCATCTAGGTATGCTAATGCCCTTAAACAATCATTCAAAGTCCAAGTTCTGCAATGATGTCCTAGTACATTCTTATGGAAGAGAAGTGGGATGCAGTAACAGAATGACTGTCATAAGCTCTTGAGATCCTTGGACCAATCATTGTGCTGCTTTGGAAAACAACAGCCGTCTATTACTAAGTTGATATTGCTAACATCTTTTAGCCGAGTGACCACATGCCCAAGTGATAGGACAATGACTGTGGCACATTCTTAGGACTGCAGAACACTGCTGAATATATTAACTAAGACACTTGCTTAGAGTTCCAAGTTCTTTTCTGCCTTAATGTGGTTTGGCAGAACCACAAGAAGAGTGAGAAAATAGACTCCCTATGTGTACATGCACATTTTCTGATAAAGTAATGAGAAATGCTCACCTATCTTGCAAGAAATTATTCTTGTTTCTCAGCATTTTTTTAACTAAATTTCTGGGAAGAAGGGTCATTATGGGGTGACACATAGATTTAAGCTCTGTCTGCAACAGAAAGGATTAGGTCCGATATCCACTGCACAGGTATGTTAATACCAATAATAGTACAGCCTCCTCAGAATGTAAGAGGGCATTGCAGATACATCATTAAAGTAGTATATAAGCATAGAATCTTGCGAGCTATTAAAAAATCCTTCAAGATTATGCTGACTATTCAAAAACACGTGGAGTTTTATCTTTGTATTTATCAATACCCAAATTATTGGTGAAATTAAACTTCTGAATATATATATAAAATATTTTTGTCATCACTACAGGAGAAAAGGGGGTGTCTGCAGATGCTGCTGTGAAATTTGTAAAATTAGCTTTCAGCTATGAAGAGTGGGACGTGTTTGATTCTGCTATTGAATTTGTTGTTGATTTTCTTCAGGTAAACCTGATGCTATTTAGACATTTTTTATGTAGTGTTTTCCTATGAGAATAAGGAAGAGTATTCAAAGTACATATTTTAAAGACAAATTTCTATTGGTTGTTTCTGTCAATTAGGCTCAAGATGACCCAACATGGAAGAAAGCTGAAATGGAACTCAAACTTCTCACGCTGATGCAACCTTTACTATTTCCAAGAAAATTTAAACATGGTTTTTCTGTTAGTGAAAATAATACCAAAGAAGCTAGGATGCCTCATGGTTCCGAAAAGAAGCAAACATTCAGAAGTGAGTGTTGTTCAGTTATAGCTGTGTTTACATTTCAAACATTTTTGCAGCAAGTAATTTTGTTTATTATTTAAAAACTATTTAATATGGTCCATGCAGTATTCTATGACAAAAACCAGCAACTGAGAAATTGCAAGCTACTGAATTTTGTCCAGTTTTCATTTGCCAAATCATGACTTTATACCATTTCACTTGAGTGTGAAATAGCATGTATGTTTAACATACATCATGCTATATGCAAAGAAATAAAATGAATGGGTGTTTTCAGACAGGTTTGCAAGAAAAAAGTGAAACAGACATGTTTCATTTTCTTTTGTCCTTATCCTTATATACATACTCCATTTATGTAAAATTTCTTGGCATCAAAGTAAGAAAAATTTGTTAAAGCAACTGTAATTTAATTGTATAACATTCAAAAAACTTGCAAATATCTTTCAATTTCCAAAAAGAGCAATGCTCACTTTTCACAGAAAGTGAATAAACTTGAGAATCTGTCCCCTTTGTATTTACTATTTCTTAGAGTACATTTTCTGCTGGCATAAATTCGTAAGTTAATTTACTCAGGTGTTTTCAAACATAGGTTTGTAACTAGAAACAATGTCTTGCCTTTCCTTTTCTTCCTTTTTTATAAACATTGAATGTAGAGGGTTCCTTAAAGCACGGAGAGCCTTCTCATGATCTTATGATTTTGGCAACAACAATGTTCTCCTGTTTCTCCACATCTGAGCAGGTAAAATAAAATTAGAGACATTTCTTCTGAATGAATCACATAATCTGTAGTGAATGCATATAATTTAAGACCAAAGGAATCAGTTGCATGATTAACAAACTACAAAAATGAAATTGCAAAAATGAAAAAATATACCCATAAGATGTGATGATTTTGTGATTTAAAAAAATAATACTGGTTTCAGTTTTTTTAGTTTATTTTATTGGTGCTGTTGGTGCAAGCTACTTTAATAATGTTTGAGAGAGATTAAATCCATTTGTAATATCATAGAGCTAATTGCATGTTTCATCTAATCAAGCAGAGATCAAATTTCTCATATTACATTTAGGTGGGCAAATATGCCCATTTATAGAAATGGGAGCAGTGACCGTAAGTAATGATAATGCCTTTATAGCAGTGGTATGCCTGCAATTTAAGGTGAATTCTCACTGCTAACAAACGAATAAGCAGCAGCAACAACAAAACCAAAAAGAATGGGACTTTTTGTGCCAAAGTCTGTACTACAGAATAATGCCATTATAGATCTGATGGTTTATTCCCAGAGTAACCACTTTTAGCTTACTTGCTCAAACTGATGTTTCCCTTAATGTGCTACTGTGAGAGGAAAAAAATTACAGTCCAATGTCTCCACTAGCATTTGCACTAAAATAATTTGTGATCCAAAAGACTAACGAAAAATCTTCCTTAAAAAAAATATGTTCTGCTAACATGGTGTATGTCTTAACTGCAAAATTAATTTTAGATATAATTTGAATATCACCCCAGTTTCAGTATGAGAGGCACACACGTTTTTTAGCTTTAGTGTAATATTTTCAGTCAAAATATCCTGCCTGTGAGGTAGTTACACTTTTAGACAGAATGATTAGTCATTTTTTTGCATGATCACTGTATTATGGAGGCAGGTTACCTGGATTTACGCTATTCTGGTTCTTATACAGTTTCCCACAATTCTCAACAGTACCTAATCTGTCCGGGGAAGAAAGACAAATTCTCCCCTGGTTAGTGGTGAATTCACTGATGGTGAAGTTACATGATATAGCTGAGCCAATCTAACAGCTTGCTGCCACCAAAGGAGTGGCAAAAGTCATCCTGATTTGCTTCTTTTTCAGTCGTCTTCTCCCCTCACTTCTCAATATTAGATATCCCTGAAATCTTTTGCTCATACACAGATGAGTGTACAGATAGTGTGGATATAGCAGGCTTGAGTTTCATTACACCTGAGATACTAGTCCAACTCTGGTATAAATGGCGATAAAGATGTGTACTGATCCTTAATCACTGTTCAGAATGTTTAACACGTGAAATGGAGATGGACTCTGTTGCCTTTTAAAATGTATCAATTAGGAGGTTAACTCAATAGAGTTTTGAATTTGTTAATTATTCTCTTCATAAGATGCAGATGTGTTTTAAGGTTTCTTTCAGTTGTTAAATATTCCATTCAAACCATTTTTCTACTTTCTTTCAGTTGTTAAATATTCCATTCAAACCATTTTTCTAGTTGTTTAAGTTGTTCTTCACTACTCCCTCATCTGAGATGCACCAACAACCTGTGGAAGTAGTCTGTCAATGCAAAATGAAACCTACTAATTTAGATCTTCTGCAAATATTTAAATACTGTAACAAAAAAATTCCCAAAGTTAATATAACTGTTAAATTGCATTACTTCGTTTCCCCAGAATGTATTGACTATTATAACATTTCACAGATAGTTAATTTGCTTGTCTCTCCCATGTAATTTTCATTTCACCGCTTTCCATGTCTGTCTGACTTTTAAGAGCTTGACAATAAAAAAGGAAATACAAAAACCCCAAACTCTAAAACCACTTCTATTGTTGGGAGAAGAAAAGCTTGTCTGGTCTACCAGAAATTACTTTAAAAAAAAAATCTCTTAAGCTTTCAACATGTTGTCATCCCTTATAAGAAAGTTAAATATGATGATGTATTTACTTTGAAAAATTTTGAGAGTGTTTATATACTGTATATACATTCCTGTTTCTACAATTATGTTGTTTTTTTCTTTCCAGAATATCCAACCTGACAAAGAAATGCTTGTTGATGTAATAATGTTTTTGTGGCAGAAGTGTAAAACAGGACTGCAGCGCATCCAAATGAGTGGAAGGGACTACTTAAAATATATCTACAAATGCAAAGCTTGCCAAGTACTCCTTATTATAATGTATTTCTCTTAACATGAGTGCAGTCTGTTATAGTACAGCCAAGATAAAATACTGATCTCCAGTCTAAGTACATTTTCTTATGGTAAAATGCAGATAAATCTTCACTGAAAATGTGAATTGTATATACGCTTTGAACAGACTGTGCTCCCATAAGCCAGTATCAAAATACCTCTTAGCCTTTTCCCAGTAAAGTAACCCATTCTCTGCCAGTGGGCCATGATAGAAGCTAAAATAGTGAAGGCATTTGGGCATGATGCAACAAGAAGCATTTGGTCTGTTCAAGAAAGTTCCCTAGATCAATCGAAAGAGGGAAAACCCTTACAGCTTAAGAGAAGGGACATGAGGGTCAACAGGATTTGGCCCACTGGATAGAGTCACAGCCTTGAACTTTTCCTGAGACTGAGAGGCTTTTGGTGAAATGCAGTCTTGTGAAGGATAATTTACACTAGTTTCTCTGGGCTGCCAGCTGATGCTGACCAAACAGTTTCTGGAGGAGTTAATTTTGTGGCCCTTATCCCTATAACAAAATTGTTGAGAGATTCACCAGAAGGTAATGTACAGTTACTTTCCTCTGTGTGTACAACAGGAGCATTCAGGTCTCTTTTATACTGTTTAAGTGGGAAGATATGAGGATAAATGAGAGGCAAATGATCAAACCTGCTGTAAGGCTTACCACCCTATGACAAGGTATAAAAGTTGTGCCCATAGAACATTCATAAAACTTTCTAAAATACTAAAAAATGATAATATTCTAAAATAAAGGTCTGCTGCCTGAAGAAATAGGGACTTTGGGGCAGCACAAATCCAACATCTTCATTTGGTGGCATTCAAAACCAGAATTCAAATCCAAGAAAAGAGTTGTGTCCAGGTTTATAAATCTTTTTAAACACTTTGAGTGTAAAACCTTATTGGCCTCTGTAATATATAAATATCTTCCCAAAATTTAATTCTGTTCTTTTTCTTTCCTTCCCCCATTTTTAGTGGGTTCAGGTACTTTGGATAATAAATGAAGTAATTCAGAAGAGCAGCATAGCAGACACTAATGTTGTAATGCTTGCAGAGATAACCTTACATCTAACTGCAATATTGGAAAATGTAGCTGATTCCACAAGTAAACCTAAGAAAAAAGCAGGTAAAGCTTTCAACAAAAATGAAATTGTCTTTCAAAATGACATTAAAGATTGGAAATTTTATGAGTTGAAAACTTTTGCAAATAAACATATTAAAAAGTTGTTGTAAAGATACTGTTGAGAGTAGAATAATAATTTTTTATACATACAATTTCATCCATAATCAGAGCTAATGAAACCTGGTTTTCAAAGGATTTATGCCTTACTTCCTTGCATTGGCAGTTCTGCTGAAGTATACATTTTGAATCACATCGCTGATGACTCACCCTTCCCACAGTTCTTCTACATGTCTCTTAGCCCATTCAGAGTAGCCTTAGATCACTCATACATTCTCTGAATTTTGGCTAGGCAGAAGGCGGTGTGTGCTGCGGCTCATTTGGAGCATTCAAGTGCTGGTTGACTAGTGGCAGGCCAAAGAGAAGAGAAAAATGAATATGACCTCACGTATTTAAAAATCCTCCTGTAAGCTAAATTAGCATTGAACGTACTTTGAATTGGATATCAATAGGTTTGAACTGACTTAAAAATGGAAAATTTATATGAATGCTGCAACAATGTGAGGAACTACAAAATGAGTCCAAGTTTCATTGGCTTGGATATAATGTTGCTATGAAATACTGTTTACATTCTAAAATGCTACATTATTGGATAATAATGTACTGAATTAATATAATTGTACATATGTAGCAATGGTGTTTAAATCCTGAAAAGCTTTTCAAGAAACAATATCATTACCTCTCATAGTCAAGTACTGAAGAACTGAATTATTGCCAGACTTAACTTTAGTACTAGAGCTAATCAAATGGTACTAAAATTTTCTGAGCATATTTCACTGTCTGATTTTCTTTCTATGTCTATAAAATAGGAAAAAGAAGTGCTTCTTTCTCAGAAGATGAAACCTATGATATTCCTGAAATACTGATGGTGATGTCTAATTCATTTTCATTAATATAACATTTTTGAATAGCATAAGAACATTTATTTCTGCTTGAAGATTTTCATACAATTTTGTATTTAGTTTTATAAAGTTGAAATGTTTCACACAATCATGCTAGCACAGAGGAAAAGAGCAAAGATTTTTTTTCAAATGAAATAAAATCTGAAGATTTTCCTGTAGTCTTTTAGTAAACTGTGATACAGAAGAAGTTTTAGTTGAAACTTTTTACAGCATGCTCATACTGATTTCCACTGTACGCTCTTTTTTTATGCCAATGTATTGTACTAGCTTTACATGGTTTTAATAGTGCGGTTTTTAAAGATACAAAGATACAAATCTTAGTCCTTGCTTAATTTAGGGAAATATTTTGGGTTGTGCTTTTGTTTGTTTTTGTAAGGGTGATGCAGATTACATGGAACATCCTGAGTGTTCTTACTTTGTTCAGTGTGTTCAGTGCTCAGCACTTTGCAGAAATGTCCAATCAAATAGTTCAAAATTACTTACTAAAACACATTAAGAAGAAAAGACATACATTAGTCTGAGGACTCGGGAATTTTGTCAATTATGTATTTTAATGCTTGCACACATGGAGAAGCTTTCATTAAGGCGATAGTCTACTTAAAAGTGTTGGTTTCTGTAAAATCAGTGTTTTCTTAACAGCATCTAATGTAACATTGAAAACCTGCTTGTGAAAAATACTGTGCTTGTCAACTTAATTCTCTAAGTTCAATTTCATTCTGCTATAAGCTAACTCTTTGAGTTAGTATATTGTCTTTTGAGAGCTGAAAGAAAATCAGTCCTAAATTAATTAAAATGACATTTGTATTGGTATATGAAAGCATGGGGATCAGTGCCTCTGTCAAGATTATTTGACAGTTTAAACGGCAACAGCTAAAAACAATAGCACTTTACTTTTGGTAGTCCATATTATAGCTTTTAATGCTATCTAATAAAACATGTTTCTCTGTGTTTTCATTTCAGAAAAGTCCTACTGAACAATTACAAGTTGCTTATGAAAGTCTTGAAAAAGCAATTAATGGAATGAACACATCTCGCTTAATGACCCTTCTACCAGATGGAAAGTCGATATTTGACAACTGCTGTACAAAGGTAAAGTCTACAAAAAGCTACACTGCAACAAAATCAAAGTTTTGATTTTGCTAAAAAAATTATAGTTTGTAGCTTTCTCCTATAAGATAAAAGCAGGAATCTGTAAAAGCAGCAATCTGTTTCATATTTATTGCTTGCAACTGTTTCTTCTTAAAATTAATTTTTGCTGTTAAGGGGAGTTCAGATTTTCTAAATATTGTCATTGTACACTAATATGGTCTTTTTTTTATGGACTGGTAACACAATAAAACAATTTTTCTGCAATTTCATACTTATTATTAATTCAGTTTCCTATTGATTCTCAGGTTTTGTCTAGTTTTCTTTGTCCGTTATCCATGCTTTCTTGGTATAGTAATTATCCTTCCTTCGATGCTTTCTTGAATGACTGCGTATTACACAGATATGACAAATTTCAGTGTTTATCAATTTACTGAAATAATAATATCAATGTCAAGACAAATGCAGTAAGCTAAGTAATAAAAGTTTGTGTTGGCTTAATTGCCACTTCCTATTTATTAGGTGGACTCAAGCGATGAGAATTTGAATTCTGTTTTGGGATGTGGTAATGATATGACAGGAACAGGTAATGGTTTTCTAATGGATTTACACTTGGAGCTCATTCAGGCCCAACATCGAGTAGCTGTGAAACTTCTTAAAATAGCAGAAGGTAGGTTTCAGTAAAGCTAAATTATCTTCATAACTTGATTAGAGTCCTCAATATATTTTGTAATATCAAGAAATAAAGGAGTATCTGCTTTCTGAAGAGGAGCTGATTTGGGGCAGTTTGTATGCCACGTACAGACAGAAATAATGTACTGAATTTGCAGAGTTTAGATTTACCACATGATACTAGTCTATAACCTCTACTCAACCAATGGGAGTTAACAGCTAAAAACTACTGGATTTGATTCCTAGACATTTTTTGCTGGTATTTCATTTATAATATTAGCTGTTACAGTGTCAGTAAGGGAAACTTGGGGGAAATAAAAATACAGAAATAAATAATACATAAATAAAAATACAGATTTTTTTTTTTCCTGTAATGGTAATTTTCTCTCTAGAGAATGACTCGAGTATTGTGTGAAATGCTCTTTGTAATCTGAATTTCTACTGTGAAGTTGTCCTTATCTCTTCCCAGTCATCAGATATCCCACTCTTGCCAAATGCCTTCTGAAAGTACTCTACTCACTCTCCCATTCCTGGTGTTGTTTTTTTTTAAATTAAAAGCTAGTATTAGTTTGACACTGCAGAGCTCTCCTGTGCACTGCTCCCTGTGATCAAACAAGATGCCTCTTTTCCTATGATTAGTATAAGTACTAAAGATGTTAGAGTATGAGGGTGGAATATTAGTGGCATGATCAGTCCAAGAAGTTCTCCTGAACCAAAGAAAAGAACATGAGATGGAGCTGAGCTTTACTACAAAACTACGTATTAACCCCTCTCACTGAAATTTTCTCAATAGCACAATCAGAATGAATAACTGAGGATTTCCTTCCCACATAGGTGCTGAAAAGGATGACAGAAGCTTTACATCTAGCAAGTCTCATGTGAAGAATATTAAAGATTTCCATTATTTAACAGGTAAGGCTTATTAATTAATATTCTAGAAGTATAATAAATTATTGCTGCTGTTTTATAAATGTCTTAAAATATCTATTTTACAGAGGCACTTATAATGAGAAAAATAAAAAAGAATAAGCTATCCAGAGCAATCTTTTTGATGCAAAAGGCTGGACAGAAGTTCCCTAAAGGGTTAACCACTTCTTCCCAAAGGCAGCTACTGGAGGTAATAAAAAAAATCTTATGGTAGAAATTCTCTATCGTTAGCGCAGTTTTTCATGTTCTGTATAATTAAGACTTGGATTACTCGTTCTTACAAAAAGGAGAAAAAATAAGGAACTTGAGGGACATTGGGTGTTTTTTAACTTCTGTTGTCAAATTGTCCCTGAGACGTTTCATTACAATGAAAGAATAAAGTGACTTAAAACAAGGAAAGAGCACATCCCCAAATTTTGTGTGCACAGGAAACCTGAGAGAAGATATCATCTTTATTTCTACACTTAATCACCTAAACTTTGCAGTAATGAACCTATGTCTTGCCAAAATGTTACGCAGGTTTCCTTCTCCCCATTGTAGCCTTCAACATCCTTCTTCTCCCAAGATATGCAAGTTGTCTTAGATTACTTTGGCTGATGATGACAACATGGACTTTATTTTATTCTTATTAAATACAGTTTAGAAATTGGAGATTTTGGATTTTCTTCAGGCTAAAAGTAGATTCTTCATGGAATCATTTTGAAGTCTTGTGAAATCAGTGGGAGTCTTCCTGCTTTGTACCAGCACCTGTCCATGAAAATTGCCTTCTCATCAGTGGGGCATAAAATTTCTTTATAGCCTGTACAAAAGATAACAGAATCTGCAATTCTCACTATATAATAAATGAAAAAGTATTTTAAACAAGAAGTTACTAGGAAGTGTTTTCTTTTAAGTGCCACAAATTCAGAAGCATGATAATTAAAACATGTCTTTTATGTCAGAAGAATGCAAAAACTTGATCAGAAAAGACACTAAAAATCTCATATATTTGTAAAATATATGTCATTTATGTATAGAAGATGTAGTGATACGGTATGAAAGTTGTAACTATAGTCACCAATGAAGACTTAGAAGCAATTCCCAAGAAATGTGTGGTTATCCCAAACAAATGTTTGCAAAGGCCTTATACTGACCTTTAATATATTTTACTTCTGTGCACTTTTCACAGAGAAAGGTGTAGGTAAGAGAATATAATATATTTTTAGCTAGTTACCTGAAAATGTCAGAATTAGCTTTGCCTGGACAAACCTAGCATGATCTTCTTTGATATTTGTACTATGCTGAAATATTTAATTATATGCTCAATTAATTTCCTATCTTGAGGTGGATGGTGCTCACTTCATGAACAGCAAATCCATACCTTTATTTTCATGTTTTGGTGTAGACGATTTTGCCTTTTTTATTGTAGAACATTCTAGAGATCTATATAGAATTACTTGTATCTTCTGGTCTTTTCCACTGTACTCAGCACAATATGATATAAGTCTGTTCTTACTACGCTGCAAAATAGGAAAGCGGCTTATTTTTTTGAGAAACATACAAATAACGTCTTCTCATGCAGTAAACCACCAGGCAGATATGGAAGCTTCTGAGTCATATGCATATACTCATCTACATCACACTGTTTAACTACTTGAGCTACTGTGTACCCTTCATTTTTTTTGTATTTCTCGAACAGTTGCTTTATTCTTCCTTCCTGTCCTATATGTCTAGTTGGACATTCAAGTCTTTACAGGATTTGGTACACCGGTAGTTCTTGTTGGCCAGCTGTAAAATTGAATTAACGTGATTAAGCTAATACCAGAGTGCAAGTCTGTGGGAGAAGCAGGGGTAAAATGTGTTTTTTTATAGTGATATTTAGCTTCCTCAACCGTAAGATTAGTCTTTCTCCTCTTGCATCACTGCCACGTTTATTATCTTTTAAGTTCTACAACTAATGAAGAACATGTCACACAGTACCACTCTCAGTTGCAACACTATCTTTATCCAACCTGGGAGCAGTTACATCTTTGCACTAGTAAGAAACATGTCCTCAGAGAAGAATGAGTATGTGATTCTTTTAATTAAAAATGGTATCATAGTACAGCTTACCATAAAGAAGTATAATTTTTAAGGAAGCAATGAAGTTTCTAATTACCGATTGCAAAAGTTGAATGGTTGTGTGAGGGAAAGAGACCCTCCATATCTTGTTCTTTATCTGGAAAGAGTCACTCCATATCTTGTTCTTTATCTTATATTCTTCCTTAACATTTCTCACTAGGGTGGATGCAACCCTAATCTAAAAGGGGGAGGGAGTGGGGAGAAGTGAGGGGCTGTGCAAATGATTAGCTATGTGATGTCATTAAGGCTCTGTTAAATCTTAGCTCCATGTTTCACTATAACTCTGGCTAGTTTTTTGTCATTTTTGGACATGAGGTACAATCTGTGATCTGACCTGATATGGCTGTTCTTATAGCCTTATAACTATACGAGGACAGAAACAAGGAACTGTTAAGATGCAAGATTATAGGACTGTCACTGAATAACCAATAACTTGGGATTTTCTTTTTCAATTTATCTTTCAGACTCAGTTCAGCCTAAGTCCTTGGTCCAGTGTATGGTACTAAAAGATTTCAAATTCAAACTCTAGTTGTAGGAATATATCATCTTCGTCTTCTCCCAAAAGAATGTCATTTGTCCAAGACATCTCCCATCTCTTCACCTCTGGGGGCTGTCCTTTTTAGCTTTGATTTGTACTGGACAGCTGCTACAAGTAAAGATACAGAAGTACTAGGTTCTTAATGTTAAATTTCCAAGTTAAGTTTCTGTTATCTTGACAATGCAAACAACGTGAAGAAGCTGACCAACTTGCTGTACAGTCCAGTAAGAAAAAAATATACCCTGATCACCAACCAATGGCCACATAATCACAATAAGCAGGAGGCCCCCACATTTTTGGAAGACACTAATAGAAAGTCAGTCAGCTCTCAGCTGTCTACAGCTAACCAATGGAAGTCGATTAGCCCTACTTTTTCTGGGCCTGCATTCTCCTCCCTTTTCTTTATTTCTGGACTTTATTTCTTTTCTGTGATTATGGAGTACAGAAAATCAATCTGACCACTTCCACAGCTCTTTCAGAAATTCCAAAATTAGGTCTCCACCTCTCTCCTAAGTAAGAGTTGATATCTTTTTTTTTTCTTGTTGGAGCTAATCACTGGTTGCCACTAACTGATAATCAACATTATTTGAGATCACTCTCTTTTTTCCTATAGGTTATTCCAAAATTGGATATGCCTCAGCCCTGCCTCTTTCATATGCAACCCTGCAATACCTTTATTGTACACTGTGAAATTAATCTGCGTATGTAAGGCTTATACAAGTACCATTTATCCTAATTTAGGGCGTAAGAAGATATGAAAATCTATAAAAAGTTTTTTACATAGCAGTGAATTTTTTATAAGATCATTTTGAAAACCATTTATAAGTGTTGAATCTGTCTGAGTGTTATATATTAATAGTTTTTCCCTTTTGTTTGAATTTAAATCATAGGAAGCACTGACTTTAATTGAGCAAGTTGAAGCTGAACAAAGAGCATTGTATCACAGTCTTAAAGAAGCTATGAGCAGCAAGAAAAAAAGCAGGACACCTCCTCCTCCTCTGTTACTTTCTAGATCACATTGCTCCATGACATTTAAACCAGCCCCATTCTCTTCAGATATTCAGGTAATGTTTTTCATGATGAATGCATAAGAAATAATTAAACAATACATAAGAGAGCAAATGTTATTTCAACAGTGCTGTACTATCACAGTTTTCTCTATTGTTCTTGAGAAGATTATGTTATTCTGACTTAATTAAGTATACTTTTTTTGCCCCTGTGAGTCAATTGTGACTCACTGTTTTGATCCTCACATTTGCATGAAACTTTATCTCATGCATCATGTTCCTTGGTGTTTCTGTTATATAACATTTGTTCTGTTTGTCAAAAGCTCATTCTCTCGCGTAGGGGCTGACATACTCCTAGTTACATTCTGAAAAGATGCAAGGCTGTTGGATCATGTGTTGCAAGAAAGTATCACACTGAGGCCTCTGGTAATGAAGTGCTGAAGTGCCATAGTTCAGGTGGAAGAATCTACCTTGTGTTGAACATGTGGAATCTCATAACTACTCAGATCATAAAGGATTTTAGGAGAGGTCTCTAGTCTAACCTTCTGCTCAAAGTAGGGTTGGCTGTGAGATTAGACCAGGTTGCTCAGAACTTTATCCAGGCAGTTCTGAAAACCTCCAAAGATGGAGACAGAACAGCTTCTCCGGGTAACCTGTTCCAACTGGGCGACCTGCTCATGGGAAAAACTGTTTTCCTTATGTACAGTTGGAATTTCTTTTGCTTCAATTTACGTCTTTTGTTTTTCATCCTCCTACCATGCACTACTGTGAAAAGCCTGGCTGCATCTACTTCATCATTTGCTTGCAGGCTCCTGGTAGGTCTTCTGAAGCGACCTCTTTTCCAGGACAAATAAGCCTAGCTCTCTCAGCCTCTTCTTGCAGGGCTCGTGCTCCAGCTCCCAACCATCTTGGTGGTCCTCTGCTGTAGTCACTCTAGTTGTTGAACAACATTCTTGTTAGAATGGTGGGGGGCAGGAGGGAAACTTGCCATGGTATCTAGATGTAGTCTAATGAGTGCTGAGCAGTCCTGCCCTCAACGATATCAACTGTTGCCCTCAATTTGGCATTATCTACAAACCTGGTGAGTGTGTGCTCACTTTTTTCCTCAGTTCATTGCTAAAGATATTAAACAGGTCCCAGGACAGTCCCCTGCAGTGCTCCACTTGTTACCACCCTCCAGGTAGAGTGCAAACCATTAACAACTAATCTCTGAGTCTGACCTTTCAACCATTTTTACCCATTTATCTGTTCACACTCCCATACTGTGTCATCCTAACTTGGATACAAGAATACTGGGAGACAATGTTGAAAAAAGTGTCTTGCTAATGTCGGGTAAATGGCATCTACTTCTCTCTCCTCCTCTCCAAATCAAGTAATTTTGTCACAGAGGCCAGTCATGGTGGTCAGCCTTTACCCTTGGTAAATCCATGCTGATTGTTCCAAATCACCTTATTCTCCTTCATATGTCCGGAATGGGTTCAAACAGGCTTAAGTATGAAAAATTCACTAGCTTCAGTTTTCTTGAGAGAGAGATTTTCATAGCCATTTTGCAAGCTTCTTCAAAATAATGATGTGTATAAAGTTAGTAGAAACTCAAATTTTACTAATAGTGGTAAGAATGTATCTGTGAACAGTTTTCTGACTTGCAGGTTTTTTGCAGTTTGATTGATTAGTGAATTTCAAAGAAATTAGTTAGCGAAAAGTTCTTCCTTTTTATTCCGAATGAGCATAAAAAAAAATTAATTAAAAAAAATTAATTCTTTAATGGCTGGAAGTTCATCTGTTTTAGTAAGTGTTAATACTTCATTTTCTTCAATGGAGGAGAGTGACTGTAACATGTTGGGCCAGTAGATGGTGCAATGTGATTATTAGTCTTACAATTTGCGCCCAGATATACTAGAAGGATTTTTTTCTAAAGATACACATAGCTTTTGTACAGGCTATGAAAGATATTTTTTATTAAGAACTTACTAACTGGAAATGAATAATTAGGATTTAATTAGACATATATTGTTCTTGTACTAGAAGTCAAAGTATCTCTAAAATTTACTGATCGTAAAGTTACTTACTTGCTGAAGATCTCTATTTCAATATCTCCTTCTGAAAAAGTCAGGATTCATTGCAAGACAAATCATGTGTATTACAAGAAAAAGAAATAGTCTAGCTGTACAGAATTTTTATACGTTGAATAATGACCTCATCTGCCAAATCTAAGATGGGTTTAAATGTCTACTGAAAGTAAATAGACTTGCTACAGTTTTTAGTAGAAGTTTAATTGAAGAGAACTTCATCAGATGCATAACTTACTGAAATCCATCTGCCCAGTTCTGCAGAGATGAAATAAAAATTAGTTTCCATGTTTGATCTCACTTGGACGCAACTGAGCACTGATCCAAGAATGCATGCTCACATTCTTCTGTGGTTAAAGGTACTGAAAAGTGTAGATGATATGCCCATGAGATTATCAGTAGCTCGATGACATTAAAAAAACATTGATTTCTATAGGACTGAGAACTTTGGCTTGTTTAGAAAATATTACTGTGGTACCTCATATATGCATTTCTGTTGCCCGCTTTTAAGGACCTGTCCTCAAGTACTTTGCTGAATCAAAACCTGATGTCAACTTTAGAAGAATACCATTGCGAGGATCAAATAAGAGATCTAGATGACTTTAAATTTACAGGATAACCTACTGAGTTTATGCTTTGGGATAGGTTTGAGGTATAGGGTAGCTCAAGGTAGGAGGTAGGATAATGGAGTGTCATCTGCTTTTACTGCCATTGTAGTATATCTAGTTGTCTGGCTGAATCAATTAAATAATGTTTCCAGTCCAATTAAGACTATACATTTTTATAACTAAGTTTTTGGTTTTTTTCCAGAGACTGTTTTCACAAAATTAGTACATTCTACATTAGGCAAAAGTTGGAAATACTATTATGTATCAACTCATTTTGTTCTCATTTTCTTCAAAGGTTTCATGGTACAGTATTTTGGGCTGTGTAGCAGGAGGAAGTAATATGAAAGTAAGGTTAAATAACAATAAACTCCCAAATGCAGGAGAAGAGGTAAGATGGAGGTAAAACTCCTTTAGGTCATTCTCTCTTCCTTTAAAAAACCCCAACTTTCTAAATGTATACATCTGATATGTTTTTTTCACCAGGTATCTGACCAAGCCTTTAATAAACTTCTTGATCTTTTATTTTAAGCAACTGAAATTTCACTAGACTGAAGGCATACCAAAAACCAAAGAAAGTTCTAGGACCTTTTTGAATAATGAGTTAAATGATTCAAGAGCTTCATGTTAGACAAGTCTCTGTCCCTTCTGTTATAACTCTGTTTTTTGAGCAATATCTAAGAAATACAAAAGGAAAAGAAAGTATATGATGTATTTATAGAGTGTGCCTCAGACACTGCTCTTTCCAGGGATGCAAAAAAAGATAAATTCTAAACAAATATAAAATTTAACATTTTCCGTAATTGTGTGACTTCTATCCGCTATTTCTTCTTAACAAGACTTCACCTCACTTAATTCTGGTAACATGATAATATAACTCCTTCAATAACCTTCATGTTCAGATGTGATTGACTTCTAGGTTCATGCTCTTTTCCTTTCATGCTGTGAACATGTGGTATGACAAATTATCCCATACCATCTTTGATTACTTATGACTGGTCATGTGACTGTGTCAGTACTCTTTTATATTATTTCTTTGTTACAATTTGACATTTTATTTTCTGAATTTGGTTTGGTTTGGGTTTTTTTGTGTAAGTGTCGTTTTTTTCCTTTGGATCACACTCTCATGTTCCTGCACAGACTGAGAGTGTTGTGTTTTTCACTCACTTATGCATGCTATTGCATTGTCCGCCTGAATGATGACTGTAATCCATCCAAATACTCTGCATTTTGGGTTTCAAGAAAGGGACAAAAAAGCTTCACCATATCCTCTTCAGCAAATTTTACTGTAGTCTCAGACCTGAGTGATCATTTTTATACCTGGAAATCTTCATGAAGAGTTCTGTTCTTTGCAGGGCAGGTCTCTGTTTTGCATTGTGACAGAAGAATGATTTCAAGCTCTTTTGCCCAATGTTTCAAGCTTTCCTGGTTTTCTGAGCAAGCTCTATACTAACACTGATAGACTTGTCTTTGGTGATGGAGAGGAAATCTTTCCCTTTGTGCCTGATCCCCCTATCTCCTCCCCAAAAAGGAAGGTGTATCAAAAGAAGTGTTTGTAGCTACTGGCAATAGAAGCTTTGAAGTTATTCTTGATATTCTTATTATCAAATCCAGAGAACCAAGCTTCCGGTGATGTCCAGTGAGCTGGTTTCAATATACTAACCTGCTCCAGGTGAATTGAGTGTTTCACTGGAGACTCATCCCACTAGTAGTTGTTCTTCCTGTGAACTTTCTGCAATCCATCCCAGCCACTGATTGTCTCAGCTCTGGCAGGCACTAGAGATGCACAGACCTGAGATTAACCATATGCCTCAGCAATGGGTGCTGGTTGCTTTGGGATATGCTTTTGCAAAATGCTGATCTGCAGACTAAGTCGCTCTCTGCCTGCTCCATGGAAAAAGTTTAGAATTCTTGGTAGTGGAATGATTGACATGGCTTACTCTAAAGGAATACTACGTACTGTCTTACACTAATTTCTGGTCTTCTGGGTCAGGATTCAGCCCCAGCATTTGAAGGGATTTCCGTTATTCAGAGGTCTCCTTATGAAGGCCAGACAGCATTTAAATAAGAGCACTGTGGTAATGCTACATTATGATGATCTTGTTTCTCATGTTGTGCTTCAGTCATTGTGTCAGTTGTTTGTTGTTTCAAGACAACAAATGTTACTTTGTGTAAGTTGTCCTGGTTATGGAGGAGAAGGTGGAAAAACCTGTTAGGAGTGAGCCGTGAGGTTAATGTGCGGGTGGACAATTACTTGAAGGAAAAATGAAGAGAAGATCTTGAAAATATGTTGTTTGTTTCACAAACTCCGAAGTCCTGCTAATGGTGTTGAGAGGACCTGAGACATCCTCTCATCCTCCATATCTAATACATGCACGCGGCATGTATGGAGGGGAGCCACATGCTCTTTCTCTGGAAGCACAGCTCAGGGCTAGAATGTTTCCAGCTCAATGACTGCAAGCATGCACACTCAGGGTGTGAATGTGCAAATGGACAAAAATGTCTTGGAGAAACTCCAGGTCCCGGTACTTAACTGTTCTCTTAGGTTTTGTGCTTTGTATACTCAACTGCATTCCAGAGAAGACGGATACTTTTTTTCCTGTCATTTCATTGTATGAAACTGGATTGTATCCAAGACCATTAAATAATTTATTTAACAATAAATTTTAGAATTTGAGGTTTTTTTTATATGTACAGTGGGTATAATTAGAAAATATTTTTATTGATAGATACCAGCTGATGGGAAAAGCCTCTTGGAAATACAAGGCTTAGATCCCAATGAGAAATACATATTTGCAGTTGCAGCGTATTCTTCTGATGGAAAACTTATTGGTGATGCCGTTGGGGAAACGACTAAACCAATCCTTGCTTATCCACCTCTTTCTGTTACTACTGTTCGAGCCTATCTAACTCAGGTAGGGTTAGAGTCTTTGATAATAAGCACATACTTTAATTTGGTTGTAATTACTTGATTTCACTGGTAGATCTAAAATTTCATCTGGTAAAAACGGAAGACTTTCTTGCCAAATGCTTGATAAGCACAAATCACAATTTTAACATAACAAATGGTGTATTTGAGTAACTTAATTCTCAATTCAAAATTGTTGGAAATTCCAGTTTAAGGAGAAAGATCTCAGCTAGTTTTCTTATCCCTGTTTCTGTTTTTCAGTCTGCATTTAATTTCTTTCTTCTTTTTTATAATTTACTTTTTCATTTTTGTGATTGAGACCAAGTGCTAGAAATCATTTTATTAGCCATTACAGTATGGGAGGAAAAATGTGATTGAATTTAGCAGGTGTCAAATCCAACCATTTTCATACTGAAATTATTTTTGTAGTGTCTTGTGGAAGACCACAAAGGCTCTGACAGACCTTTATCATAATTTTCGGTATTCTTAATAAAGAAAATTTAAAACTGATTGTGGCGTGGAAAAAAGTAAAATTATTTAGCCCTATAGATCAGATCATGGGGAACAGTTAGAAGATTTCCTGAAATATTCCAGAGTAAGAGTTATCCACATGAATTTATGCCTACTTGTGCAGCTCCATTTACATCCCATTATTCAGAGCAGCAGGGCATTCTGCAATGTTAGCCAAAGTAAAATGAACCTAGATGAAATGATATGCCTTCAAAAACTGCAGCACAATACCTGTAAGGTATTCCACAAGGGTTGTTAGATACTTAGTTAACAGTCAAGAAACTCTTTTACCTTCTCTAGTGCTAATTCTAAAGACAAACTAATATTAGTAGAATCAGATTGCTACTGCATGTGTTTTATACAAATATGTCAGAATATTCTTACAGAAATTGTAGATTTACATGTTGGGGGCAATTTTTAAAACCTTTCTTTATAATATAATTGTATTTGGCTTGGTTATTTGATGAACATGGAAACTTCCTAATTTGTTGTTTGGTTTGGTTTTTTGTAGGTAGCCTATCAGACTGGCCACTATACACTAGCCAGAGAAGCATTTTCACCAATGTGGGATTATTTTGTTTCAAATTCTTCTCCACTGCCTGCCAATGCAGTTGTTATTTCTGCAAGTAGTAATTTGACTATATCTGAAAACAGGTAACGAGTGAAAACAAAATTAAAATAGTTAATTATAGATGTGCACATTTTATTGTAAAGAGTACCAGGTTGTGAAATTTTGTTCAAGACTTGAGATATGAAAAACATTATGAAAAAAGAAGGTGTGAAATGCATTGTAAAAATAGTGTGTTCTGTAATTAGTGGAGGATTTTTCTTATTTATGGAACTGCTAGCATTTACACACCTAATTCTTTATAATGATTGTTGTCTTAAGATAATTGGGAACCATTTATAATGTGGCTATTAATTCTGTGTGATGCATTTTCATATGCAAAATATGTAATGTGCACTGGGTTCTTGACTTTCTAATTTTAAGGGAGCAGTAGAGTTCAGAAACTGAAAATTTTGTCAAGAAATCTCTCAAAATGGGTAAATGCTTGCTTATTTTGTTTTTGGGTGCCTGTATAAATCTGCCAATAATCTTCAAATATACTGAAGTGCTTCAGAAGACAAATTTAAAATTAACTCATTTATAAATAAATGTCAAATGTTCAACCATAATATTATAGGTTTTTCATGATGACAAAGCCCAGGTAGAAATTTTATGGCTACATTCACTGAAATTCAATAGATCCAAATGCAAAAATAAATCACAATTTAATTATTTAACAGATAAAAGAAAGAGACATGTATTAAATAATAGACATGAAATATTATAATTAAAATATAGTTTTAAATGTTAGTCAACTGCTTATAATTTGATAATGGATTAACATACAGTATAACTGAACACAAAACATCATCTTCACTTGTGTAGAATTCTTTTTAGACTAATTCTTTCATTAGGAAAGTTTGGCAAACTTGTGGAGGAGGTATGAAGAAGTTTTGCAGCATCTCTGTTTCAGTTTGACAGACCATCTCAGTTTTGAAACCATAATGACAAGAAGCAACCTTATTGCATGCGCATTAATAGTTCTTGAATGTTTCAAGCATTAAAGAAGAAATAAAGAAATAAAGATCTTTGTTTCAAGAAATAGGTATCCATCAGGGGGATTTCCTAAAACTTTAGTCAAAATACTTCCATTTCCACTTTACAGACAGAATAACCCGGTAATCCGCTATTCTGAGACATATGATGTAGCTAGCGTTTTCTCTATATTGTTTTGATATACTTGCATCGGAGCCCACGATTTTCTCAGGGTAATGCTGTTTGGATGCAAGCAGATAATGTAGGCTTGCGTGTGTTTTGAATCCTGTTACAGGAGAAAGTAATGTGTCTATGCGTACTTGTTACTTGGGGCTCAGCCAGGCTACTGGTATGGATCCTGTCTGTCCTTCAAGTGCCACCAACATGTCTGATACTAGGCAGACAAATTGACTGACGGTGTTGATGTTACATGCCATAAGAGCATTTAGGATTTACAGGCAGCCTGTGGACTGCATTGATGCAGGCAGATAATCGGTAGGTATCCTGTTTCATCACTATGTGAGTGTTTTAAATCCATGCCTGGCTTAGGCAACAAAGCAGGAATTCAAGTCTGGTCATTGTTTTTCATTAATTTTTTTTCCCTAATCAACTCTTTTTTTTTTTTAAACACATACAGCTCTAGAGATGACATGTGACTGAAGCTACTTTCAGATAAACCAAATGAAGACAGAAAATTTTAAATAGCGGTGCAAAGCAGTTTCAGGGATTTTGCTTTTCCGACAGTTATGTCCAAGCC